GAGATTGGTTGGTGGGATGGTTGATTTTATTTATTTTTAATATTTTAAAATTTTTTTTATAGAAAAATGAATTTTAGAATAGTAGATTAATGAAAAATGTGTGGATGAAAAATAAAAAAAAGTTTTTGATTTACGTGTAATATTATTTTAATGATGAATTTGTTATTAAAAAGAAGAGAGAAAAAATATATTTTGATAAAAATGAGATTCAAACGGAGCTATAATTAAAAATTTTAGTCTTTGCATCAATAGTTTGACCTTTTCAACCGTTAATTAAATGGAAGCATTTAAAATGATCAAATGCCAAATGGCTGCACTAAATATAAGGTTAAAGATGTTTATATTAAGATTTGAAGTTTTGGCACTATTTGCACAGCAACCCCATATATTAGGGACTGTTTGCACCAATTTCCCACTTCATTTGGTAATACTTCACAATAACAAATTAAACTTAAAATTTAAATAATTATGTAACTACTTTCCCCGTGCCTGACTCTGGTGTTGCACGATCTTTATTAGAATGATTGATTTCATTTATTATATTCACCTCTTATTTATATATACAAAGGACAAGGATGATCTCCTACTCATAGTGAACAAAAATTTATTGTGCCTATAGCTTGTTGACAATTCAACAAAATTGTTTAATTGCCAACAATAACGACTTGATTTGTTGACATGGTAATCTGTGATCACATTTTATCTTACCCATTGTAGGCAAGAGAACGATTATGATACATTGAAAGAGCTTGTAAGAACGATATTTTTACCCCAATTTGATGGTGTAAATCTTAATCTGAATGGACTTGACACGTTTAGCGCCAAAATAAGTCATGCATGTGGTGATTTATCTCCAACTTGGGCGTCTAGACCAGGGCCATGTCGAGCCTTGCACGTTTAGGGTGGGACATATGTAGCAAGCCTCTATCTCAAGACCAAGATGACCCGCTTTAAACCACTTCTAGATGTCACAAAAGGCCATATCAAGATTGGCCGCATTTTTCAATAAAGAAACATAACTATGCAGCAAGCCTCTATCTCTACACCAAGATGACCCGTTTTAAGCCATTATTAGATGTCACAAAAGGCCACATCAAGCCTCTTGAGCTCACTCCATGACAGCAACTAGTTTCTGCCTAGCAGGCATGGATGCATTGAGAAAGGTTCTGTTTACACAAAGAAACGATTAAACCTGTGGTTTAATTTAACAATTAATCACTGTAATAGCATTCATGATTGTTAGGAAAATATGTAATTGGCAAATCTGTGACCAAGGACCAAATTGTCAAAATTGTAAAGTCAAGGACCAAATTGTCAATGTCTAATAGTTCAGGGACTAGAGTTGCAATTAACTAAGTTTATAGGCTAGGTCTAGGGTTGTGTGGGATGCCTCGAAGTTGCAAGCGGCACTTTGATTTTGCTAGAGTCTCGCCCTGACCTCGCTCGAGCCACAATTGCAGAACCAATTTCGCTGGACTCACGCTGAGTCATCGCTCGAGCGAAATGTACGTCGCTCGAGGCTCGCTAGTACCTCGCTCGAGCGACCGTGTTACCTAGCCAACTCTAATTTTAAACGCTCACGAATGTTTGACGCTCCAGATTACCATATATCAACCTCTATATATACCAAACGTCCTATTCGTGTTCATTAACCCGAAAATTCACATTGAAAACACTTTGAATATTCTTTCAATTCCTTGGCAACCAAAAATCCAAATCATTCTCTCCAAGGATCAAAAGCCAAAGAAATCCTTCATTGTTCTCATACCAATCTTTGGCTTGTTGAGTAAAAACATCAAATCCATAAACACCAAAACACATGTCTCACAACTCCAATTAAACTTCCAGAAGATTATCAGTTTGAAGATCCGGAAAGGATTTGCTTGAAGAGCTGGAGTGCGTGGCGATTCACGGGAGGTAGAAATTATACAAGGCTGGGATTTAGCACGGATCTGTAAAATCCAGGAGGGTCTTGAGTTCATACAGCAAGGAGGTCAGAAAATTGAGAGTGTCAATGATGTCTGGCATACTGTAAGTTGGTTTCTACAATAGTGAATCTCTACTGACTTGTGCCCGGAGTTTTTACCCAGTTGGGTTTCTCCGTCAACATGTTTATTGTGTTTTTACCGCGTTAATTTATTTACTTGTCAATGGTAATCCAACATAGGTAGATAAAGCACGTGAATTAATCTGGACAAATTATAATTTGTGTGACTTGTTGCATGAATTATTCAAAAAGTTTTTAATTCCTCAAGAACACCTATTCACCCCCCTCTAGGTGTTAGTTGGGTTGAACGATAGGTTTTTCAAGTGGTATCAGAGCCTA